TACTCCAAACGAGTCAATCCATCAACATATTTGATCTGTAAGAATCAGGACAAACAGAAAATTAAAAAGATGTAGAGTCTCATTTTAGCATAAAAAATTTCTACAGAACAAGTCTAAATAGAATAGGTCTTAGTATGAATTTTCAAAACTATCTTGCAAATCTCTATTTAGTTTTTAATGCGTCTATGATTCGAAATGACGTTGTTATAATGTCTTCTTTGTTTTTTCATTCTCTGATGTCACGTGAATTATGAATGAATGGATTTTCTCTTGAATGAAGAATATTCATAGTAATAGAGTAATTAAAGTGAATTGTATTGATCCGATTAGGAAGTATTGCTATGTTTTCCCTAACCTAATTTTTACTTTATTAAACTAAATAAGTTTGTTTTTACAAATTAAAAAGTTTCCATTAAAAGTAATATTCACTGTTATAGAAGATATTTTATTGTTGAAACATGATATCTTTGTTCTGTTTGAAAGAAGTATTATCTGTTATCTATTCATGCACCACTTTTTCTTTTTTTTTTCTCATCATGTTGTTATTTCACCCAACATCGATACACAGAATAGAATAATAGATATATATCTTTTTTTGCGTCTAGATAATTTATTGAGTTGATTTGAGGAAAGAAAGATGCTTGAGCGTGGACAATATAATGAACCAGTTTATTATGGTGTTGATCAACTCCAAAGAACAAATGAAAATCAATTACAAGAGGTTGAAGAAAGACACGGTGAATTCCGACAATTAGAAGTAAATTCATTTTTGAAGAAACAATAAAAATCTTTATTGTTTTTTTTTTTCAGAATAATATTGTTCAATTGCATGAAATTCATCGTGATTTTGCTGAGCTTGTTAATAATCACGGTCAAATAATTGGTAAGCATTAGATTATAAAAATGAAATTGATTTAACTTTTAATTTTACTTTAGATAATATCGAATCAAGTGTTTCTCAAACTGAAACTCAAGTCGTTCAAAGTGCTATAAGCTTAGGTAAAGCTGTTGGATATCAGGTATGAATTTAATTTTAAAAAATAAATTTTATTAAAATAAATCATAACAAAAATAAATTTTATATTTAGTCAGCAGCTCGTCGAAAAAAAATTATCTGTGGTGTAATTGTATTTGTTATAATTGTTTTAGTTGTAATTATAACAGTCGTAGTTGTACTCACGAAAAAAAAATCTTAATACATCTAATTATTCAAAGAAAAATGACATTAAATTTTTGTTATCATCAAAAAGAATAAAAGAAAAAATCATCTTTCTTCAGACTATAGTAAAATAAGTATGCATATATGCCACTTTTTTTTTTTTTATCTATTCTTATGTTGACTGTATGAATAAATAAAAACAGATAGATTGATATATTGTCAAGTGATTCAAAATGTTTCAAAAAGAAATTTGTCAATGAATATAATATTATTTGTTGTGTAATAGAAGATGATCGATTTAAAAAGGAATATTTGAAATAAAACTATAGCAAGATTTTAATTCATACTGAAAGAAACAATCACAAATAGCGATCATTTTTTTTTTAAATATGAAAACTCTTTGAATATTCTTTCAATAGAAAAATTGACTTGAAAATCATTCAAGACTTTTGTCTATGCAAAATTGACAAATGATATAAAAAGTTTCTCATATTAGAATTTTGTACACTTTCTTATTGTCGTTTTATAACTATGAAAAAGTTTCAACAAATATTTTTCTTTAACTAAGAATTAATTATGTCACACTGATTTTCAGAAAAAACTTTTAATAATCAATTAAAATTCGTAACTTTCTACAATACTACCAACGATAAAATGTTGACGAATCATATTTTTGATGAATACTTCCCTGGAGAGTCCACCACAAAAAATACAAGGTTTTCAGAATATTTTTGCGTCTGTAGAACTTTGTAGAGCTCGTTGCATTGATCATTTTGGTAAAAAGAAATATTCAAATTTACTCAATAAATCCTATTGCTAGGACGAAAATACTTAAAAACTTCGACCATTCCTGACTGCTGTTAAATGGTAGATAATGTTTTTGAATATTTTGTTCCTAGTATACATGACTTATTGAGTAAATTTGAATAGTTTTTTTTGAATAAAATGATCAGTGCAACGAGCTCTACAAAGTTCTATAGACGAAAATATCTTCTGAGAACCTTGTATTTTTGCGGTTGACTCTCCAGGGAAGTATTCATCAAAAATATGATTTGTAAGCATTTGGTCGTTGGTAGATTGATCTCGAAGTAATACTCATTTGTTACAAGTGAAGAAGAGTCATACACAAAATTCGAATTAGATAAATAACAAGCGATCAAAGGTTTTCTTCGCTTTCAATTTATAAATTTACATGCCAAAGAAACATCTCACGATAGAATTCTCTTTTTGTGTGTGTGAGTGTTGCTGTTTCATTATTATTCTATTTTTCTGTAAAATAGATAGAAAACTCTTCTTTCAAGAATTGAAATTAATTCAAGACAAATGTTGCCGTGTTTGTTGAAGTGCATATTTTTTTATGCAAAATATAAATTGGCAAAAAGAAGCACTAAACTATATTTCATGCAAATAATATAAAACTATTCATCTCCTTTTTGCTATTTATAACTTCTTGTTAGGCGTCTTATGAAGATTATTGAACGTACTCTAGATTCAAAACATCCCGCCACTTATGAGTAAAGATGTACATAGATATTGGTATTGTTCAAGAGACTCGATTGATAATAATTACTAAAATCAATGAATATCTATATAAATATCATATGGAAAAATAGGTAAATATATAATTTATTTTAATGCTTATTCTATATATTGTACAATAAATTAACCTTCATTTTCATTTTTATCATGCTTCATAATAGCATCTTTATGTCCTAATTGTTCCATGAGTTTTGAATTTTTCATACATGCTGCAATAAATTCTTGTTTACTAATAAAACCATTTTTATTTTGATCACTATCCATATATCGATCACATAATTTATCAGTTTCTTCTTTTGATAAATCTGGATGTATTCGTTTAAGCATATGTTCAATATCATTTCTTGTCATGCCTTGTATAAGTAAATCATTTGATGTTTCTTTTAAACTCTGTCGAGATAATGCTTGATATGTATCAAAAACAGCACCTAATTGCTGTTCTGGTTGATATTGTTCGGAAAACATAACTACTGAAAGAAGATATTCTTGAAAAGATATTTGGCCTGAATTATCTTTATCAATCATTTTAAATATAGATTTACTACCATCTATTGATGCACCCATTGTGTTAAGTTGATTTTCAAATTGTTCATATGTCATTCGTCCATTTGGACTTACTGTTATAAATTGACGATAATACATTAATATTTCACCTTCAGGAATATTTGTTAATTCATGCAATTTTTCAAGTTCTTTCTGAGACAGATTTGATGATGAAACATTGCCTGTCGTTTTCGATGAGCTACATGTGGTACCCATTGAAAGATAGCGAATAGAAATAGATCATCAAATAAATAATGTAATGAGCGCCTAGATCATGATTGATTTGTTTATATTTATTGTTTAGTTTAAGCCATAAAGCTAAATTATCTAATGTGTATAAGATGTATTTTTTAATACAAAAACGAAAAAGAAATTAGCCTCATATTCAATGAAGTTTAACATAATTTAGTATTTTTTTTCTTCTTTCTATTTGTCATTAAAGATTGTTGTCATTTTCTTAATCGAATATGTCATTTATCAAGATAAATTAATAAATGAATTCTATACAAAATATTTTATTTCAAAATAGGAAAATGAAAAAGATGATTATCTTATAAAATACTTTTGCCAATAATGTAATCAAGAACGAAATTCAAGGTGTTAGCCAAAAAAGTGAACTATAATATTAACGCTTAATATGTGTAATCTTTTTCTTCATCATAAATGACATGTATTAAAATCGTTTAATAAGATTGATTGCTTATCGGTCTGAAATGTCATTGGAACAAGTTTCATGGTTGTTAAGCATTTTTGATTTAAATGACCGTATGAACTAAGTCTTTTTTTCTTCTGTTCATCGTACAAACATTTGCAATAACCTTGAACGCTACACATATCTTGTGTGATTCTATGGTCGAAAATAAATAGCCGATAAATCGAGGTCGAATATAAATCATATGATTCAATCTCACGTTTTTTTTCCTTGTTTCTTTTTTCCAATTAAATTGAACAAACATACATACATGCATATACGGTAAGCACAGTAAAATATCAGTACTTTACATATATCTAACGTATCGATTCATTCATATGGTACACATACGCATTCGTTCATTCTGTCGATTTATTGCATAATAGATATATTTGATCGATAAGCTATTTCTTCTGGTGCCTCTTTTAACAGATTTTGATCTTCTCTCCTTGTGTTCATTCATATAGCATACGATAGTAATAAATAGTGAATAGAAATATGAAGAGGTTCGTTTGACCTATTTGATTTTTTTCTTCTTATATCTGGTGTAGAGAGAATCTTACATATTTCTTATTTTTTTCTTCTTATTCAATATTCAATTATAATACCTATATAAATCCGTCAACAATTGTCACCTTTACTTAGTCTATGTATTTAAGCAATGTGAAGGTGGACATATAGAATAAGAAAATCTCGATAATTACATAGTAAAAAGACAAGTGAGTGTCAAATGTTTCTAACAATATAATAATTTCATTGACAAGCATATCATAGAGACTATAGAGATAGACACAAAAAAAAGATGACAGAAAGAATAATAATATTATGCGAAAGATATCGTATTAAAATCAAATGTTATGTAGATACAATTGAAAAAAAAACGAAACCGATTATTTCTCATGAGAATTTAGTCTGATGTGTCTTATCAAAAATAAAAGAATATACCTGAATGTTAAAGGTATCATTTTTCAAGTGTATCTCATCATTATCATTATCATTCATTGTTCTCATCATTGAGGTAGATATTCTTCGATCATATCTGTCTAGCCAAATTACTTTAAAGTAGAACTATTTATCGTGATTGATTCGAGTATATTTTTGTTTTGCGCATTGTCCGTACAATATTCTTTATAATGGATAACAGAGAAGAAAAAGAATGAAGACGGGTGCTGGACACGAGATAAGATGATATCATCTTTTTCTTTTTCTATTCTCATCGCCTACCAAACGTCGCCGACAATGTTAACAAGCTCTAGATGGCCTGTTGGCTAAACAACAATCACATTGTGTCGGGTGTTTGTTGCTATCGGCTGAGAATGCTCATAGGCCTGATCGTTCATGTCACATGTATATATATATATATATATATATATATATGTAACAATGTTGCATAAATCGATCACATTTCGATAGTAGCATCAGTAGGCAGCTAATCAAGAAGATGTGCCAACACTCTATTATCCTTCAATAATTGTCTTCATATCGTTCTATTTCTTTGTGTATGTATTGATGATAGAGAGAAGAGAGAGAGAGAGCATTGATTAGAGAAGAAAAAAGTGAGAAATCGAAGCTGAGAACGAGCAAACGTTCATTGATGTGTGTGTGTGGATATGTGTGTGAGAGATATTGCTCATCGACCGTTGCGTATGTGCCGATACATATGATTATCGATGGGAAGAAGGGACAGAGAGAGAGAGAGAGAGAGAAACATCGCCGCATGCATCCATTTATGAATATCGATCAACTTGTCATCGCACATATAGACTCAGCGTACAGGATGGATCATGATGAAGACCAACGCACACATAATTCGTTTCAGTTTTTTTTTCCTTTTTTTTTTCTTCTATCTTATTAGATGAACACAGTATGTATTTTGTAGATAAATATCTCATTTTATTCATCAGCAATCGTAGCATGAACATATCGATTTTGATCTTAAGAATTGATAAAAAGGATGAACATCTGCGTTTTTGTTTTCTCATCACTCTTGTTTGAAATTCTTTGTTCCTAGCAAATAAACTTTAGTTATCAATTATAAATTCTGTTTTCACACATTGGCATTAAAATGACGTAGATAGCGACATTTTCACTCAAAAGGAAAAACAATATTGACATAATGTTAAGAACCATTTTTTTTAATATATTTGTAATTGATATAAGAAATACACATTGTAGCATGTTTGCTTTTATTTCATTATCAGTTTTCAATCATATCTACTGTATAAAGAATTGATCATGTGAAAGTAGTGACAATTAACTGAATT